AATGATGGCTACACCCCTGGTGTGACAAAATGTTAGCCTATACATGATACTTTTAAAGCTCTTTTTTTTAAATCTTGGCTTACATAAATTCCTACATATGCCATGTCATGCCATAGTATCATTAAACTAGCATCTAACAATGGACAAAAGTGTTTTTTTTTCTTCTCTAACCTATGGTTTTCTAACCATAAAGGCTGCTGTGTAATTTGCCCCCTGACTACGCATTTAAAGAATTTAGGGGAAGCATTTAAATTGTGTTTGTTGGTTTTTTACATTCCAGCTTCAAAAGCAAGAAGATCAGACCAGTTTTCTGGAAAAATAACAGTGAAGGCAAAAGAGAAAAGCTACTCAAAACTTGAAATCCCTTACCAAGCTGAGGTTTTAGAAGGGTAAGATTTCTTTAAGTTCACTAGTATATATTTACATTTTTGTAACTAGTTCACAATGTACTTATGCTCACCGTTTCCAGGTACCTGGGCTTTGACCATACATCCACCCTGTTCCACATCAGAGACAGTCCTGTAGATCCAGTGGACAGGCCCATCTACCTCACCAATACTTTCAACTTTGCCATACGCATCCACAATGTGTCACTTCCAGAAGAAGCCAAGACTATGTTCAATGTAAGCAATTATTCTAGCTTCTGGATGTGGGTATTCACATTTTTGTCAGAAGGAAACATCTTTATAGAGTGCTAAATTAAAATATTGTTTGTTTTGTTTGTTTTTTTGCAGGTGCATAATTTCAGCATGCCAGTTCTTATCCCTCCCCATGAGTCCCGCTACATTTTCTCCCTTCTGTTTCGACCAGTGCGACCCTCCATCCACATCGACAGCAACATTCTCCTCATCACTAATGCTTCTAAATTCCACCTGCCAGTCAGGGCCTACACAGGCTTCTTAGAGGTATGTTAGGAACAGCCTGAGCCTACATGTGACAGACTGTCACTAATGTAACCCAATTATGAATTTCAGACTTTGTGAAATTTATATGTATAATTTTAGAGATTAATTGGCCATGATTTGTCTTTGCTTTCTTATTTAACAGCCCGTTGTTCTTCCTCCCTGTCTTCGAGAGCACATCCTAGACTTTGGAGTGCTTAGTGCTACAGACACCAGCAGTTTGGTGTTTGTGGTGGTCAACAGCAACCCAATTGAGGTACGAGGTCATCATGTTCAGTACAGTGTGACATGTCATTTGGATAAAAATAACAGTTCTGTTGAAGCTTTTAAAGGGGTCATATGATGTTGCTAAAAAGAACATTATT